GACAAAATTATTAGTAGTTTCATAATTTGTACCCTTCGTCAGATATTTTAGGTGAATAACTTAAGAAGGATAAGTTGTACCAAGTACCATGCATGACCGAGATGATACGTACTTACAAAAATTTGGTCGGAAATTCTGAAGAAGACAAATTCAGAGACTAGTAGTGGATGAGAGAATTGGTCTGAAGCAAACAGAACGTGAACTGGACTCTATTTGTTTAGGACGGGGTCCAGTAGCGAGTTCCTAAGGACGCACTAACGAATACTCTGGTTCCACATACGGCGACAAGTTTTTTTAGACATCTGAGAGAATATAGGCTTCTCAAGTAGGGTGAGATTCATGGAAACATCTTAGTTTCAGCACTAGAGCTATGTGTTTGGTAGCGTCGATGGTTGGTCATGGCCTACTTTAATGTACTACAAGCGTTTGACAAGCCAGGAAATGTAGAGGTACTTCTATCATTACAAAAAATTATCAGCTTCTGAAGAGCGACTCCACTTCATATTAATGGTAACTAACTAAACTAACTTCATGGAGCTGAGCCCTTTTTGAGGAGCCGCCAGTTGTGCAGCTACTTAAGAACTTCCCAGCATCTTATGGAACCTGAAGGTTCATTACCGTGTTCACAAGAGCCCTCCACTGGCCTCCATCCTGAGTCAGATCGATCCAATCTCAATATTATCCACCCGCCCACGTCTTGGTCTTCCTAGTGGTGTCTTCTCTTCTGGCTTTCCCACCAATATCCTATATGAATTCCTCTTCGCCCCCATTGTTGCTGCACGCTCTACCCGTCTCATCTTCCTTGACTTGATAATTCCAATTACAGTTGGCGAGGAGTACAAGTTATGAAGCTCCTCATTATGAAATTTTCTTCACTCTCCTGTCACTTCATCTCTCTTCGGTCCAAATATTCTCCTCAACACCCTGATCTCAAACACCCTCAGTCTTATGTTCCTTCCTTAATGTCAGAGACCAAGTTTCGCAATACAGAACCATGGACAAAATTGTGGTTTTGTATATTCTAATTTTTATGTTTCTAGGCAGCAGATGAGGAAACAAACGTTTCTGGACTGAATGGTAGCAAGCGTTACCCGAATTCAATCTTCTCTTAATTTTACAATCTTAATAGTGTGTAATAAACAAGGTACACAAAATGTATACAAAAGTATGCAGTCTACACAACAACATTCTGTATTTAAAAGAAAGTAGACACTATCGTATCAACATATTTCCTCTTGAGTCAAGTTTTGGTTTGTTACAGTCGTTCCCAAATATGTGAACTGTTCCACATCTTCAAAATGTCTGTTAGCTATCTTTATGCCATGATTTTGCCCTACATTCTGGTGATGAGAGGGTAACATGTACTTAGTTTTTCTGTGTTTACTTCCATACCAACCTCTTCAGTAGCGTAAATTACAGTTTCTTTTTCTTTGTGGTATCTATGTTATCACCCAATAGAGTCACATCATCAGCATAGAGCAGCAGCTGATGTATCCCACTTAATTTTAGTCACACCTTGTTTTCCTGGGCCTTCTTAATGGCATATTCTAAAGAAAAGTAGAAAAGCAGTGACGATAAAGCATCTCCTTGTTTCAGGGCATTCTGGATAAGAAAATTATCTGACAAATGTTTACCTATATGGACTTTACTATAAGTTTTCTTGTAATACATTTAATCAACCTAACTAGTTTCATGAGTACACCAAACTTTATGAGAAAATTGTAGAATACTTCCTTTCTAAGTGAATCATTAGATATTCATGAAGTCTATGAATAGTTGATGTACTGTCTCATTGTACTCCAATTTTCTTTTTTCAGTATCTGCCAAATGTAAAAGATCTGATCAGTAGTTGATCTGCTACGTCGAAACCCACACCGATGATCCCCAATAATTTCATCTTTATATGGACTTAACTTTGAGAGAAGGATATTGGATAAAATTTTGTATGCAGTTGATAGCAGTGATATCCCACCATAATTACTACAGTTAGTTTTATCACCGGGCACAATAATATGACTCCTTCCTTTTTCCAAATAGAATTAATTAGCTTATGGCTCTTAGAACATAATATTTCACCTTCTGCTTGAATCAGTTCTGCTGGAACTTGATCACTACCTGGCAGTTTATTCCTTTTCAACTTTGCAATAGCAATTTATGCCTCGAAAGGACTAGGCTCGGGTACTAGTGGCTCAGCTGTATGTATTTCTATTGCCTAATATCACTGGCCCTATGTACATTCAATAACAGAGAAGTAGTTCCTCCACCTATTCAAAATGTTGTGGGAATCTGCAAGCAGATCACCATTCTCATCCTTCACTAAGTTACTTCTAGGTTTGTAACCCTTCTTAAATTCATTTATTCCTCTACGCAAATCTCTAATGTTCTTGTTCTTACTGTTCGTTGCAAGTTCAACGATTTTGTCTTCAAATATTCCCTCTTTTTATTCCTTAAATGCCTGCTGGCTCCAAGTCTTATATTGTTCAGATTATCCCCATTTATTTTGCTTTACTAGATGGTCAATTTTTATATTTAATTTGTAAACATCGGCTAAACTTAATTTACGAAGTTTGATTGTAAGCATATGGATGTAACAATGTTTCAGGACAGTTATGGCTGTGTATAATGGTGATTTATGTTTTCAGGGTTTCGCAGGGTCGCTGAGCCGAAAGACATTTTAGAACTTGGATCTCAAGAATTCTGACCAAATGTCGGTATTAAGTTAGTTCAAATGTACATAAAATTAAAAGATGGGAATAAATTAAATTAGTACTACAATTTTTTTGCCCCTGTCATAGGTGAAGAGAAGAACAGGATATGCAGGCTGACCTATAACTCCATGGAGCTAAGCTCTTCTTGAGAAGCCGCCAGTTGTGCAGCTTAACTAGGCCTATATATATATAAAAACATCAGTGTACATTAGTACGTGTCATGTACGAGTATTTCAACAAAATGTCTCCGCCCAAGAGACTGGGTGATTAAGGAAAGATTTATGAGCAATTCTGGGTCAAAATACTGTCTTCTTCAGATTTTGTGGGTAGTCACGTTTGAGCCGGCCAGTAAATTATTTCTGGCCTCAAGCGGTTAGTCGTTGGCTTGCCGGGTCTGGTCATGTGGGATTTGTGGTGGACAAAATGGCGGTGGGGCATGTTTTCTCTGAACACTTCGGTCTGGTCATGTGGGATTTGTGGTGGACAAAGTGGCGCTGGGGCACGTTTTGTCCGAGTACTTCGGTTTCTCCTGCCAATCTTCATTCCACCAATTGTTCCACAATCACCCTCACCTATCATCTGGGGCTAGTACATTAGGCCAGAAGCGGCCGCAATCTCACCCCAATAATAATAATAATAATAATAATAATAATAATAAAAATACCTCATTTTAGAAAATCGTCACTGGATAATGTTACTGGACTCTCATGTGTAACTGTATATTTTGTAGGCTAAAATAATTCTGATACCAAGAAATTGAAGTTCCCTTTAATATTGTAAAAGCAAACGAAAGCGAGTGAGTAATTATTAAACGAGGCAAATCTAGACAAGCAAAATCTCAGTTGGAGTACTCATGAATACCAAGCAAGAATTGTGTTCCCAGTTGGCATTTCGTGCGTTTCCCACTGGAGTCGCAGTACTGCTTCTTTCGGGGGCCTCTGAAAATGCTTTCTGATTATGGTACATATAAATTTAAAATAAAATATTACATTAAATCAAACCCATTTAATATAGTAGAAAAAATACTTCATACATGTAATTAACGTTCATTTATAATTAATGTTTTACATTTCTAAATCATATCTTAGAGATTCCTTAGGTCATTATTAGATTAGACCTCAAACATTTTTATTCACGCCAGGAGAGCTTCAGACTAAAAGAATTTGGGAACCACTGTTCTACGGGGAAGAGGCATAAAATTGATAAACTAAAAGCCGATAGGGACCAGTGGATGATTCTTGTAAACATGGTAATGAATCTTCCATAGAGAGTTGGAAAATTCTTAAGTAGCTGTGCACCTAGCGTCTCAGTTAAATGGTGTAAGTTATTTATGGTACCCGAAGTGTACGTGGCCACGCGGTAGCGTAGTTGGCTGAAGCATTACGCTACAACCCGGGAGGTCGCGGGGTCGAATCCCGATGATGTCACTGGACTTTTAAATTCACCTAATCCTTCCAGCCGTACTATCGCCCTCTAACAGAAATGAGTGCCAGGAATATTCCTGGGGATAAAGGACCGCTGGTGCATAAGGCTGACAACCTCACCGCCTTCCGTGAGCCGTTTGTCTAGAAAATATGGGAGCCTCAACATCTCACAACCCTATGGGCCTCCACGGCCTGTTACCTTTACTTACTTTACCTGAAGTGTACAGCTGTAAGAGGATTCAGTCTACATGTAAGGAGAGAAATGGGTTGCAGTACAGCCTACAAAAATTTTCATTCTATTTGAACGACATGTAAACAGAGAGAGGAGAGTCTATGACCTTATAATGGAACGCATCTACAAGAAAAAAAAGTGACATGGTTGGTGATCCCTCTGCCAACCTAACGGGACCCTTGTATTCCCCTCCCCTTGCTAAGTCCCCTACCTCATTGCCATTAACCTACATAACTGTACAGAGCACATAGCCAATAGGAGACTTGCTAAGAACGGAACAACGCAATGCCTTCCTAACCTATTTTCGCTATTCTTTGCATATCTTACCCTTTAACACCTGGCCTTATGTTGCGCACAATAACCAACCAAAGGAACTTCCACGCACTGTAACACTGTTAATCCACGCAAAGATGTTACATTTTGGCGCAGAAAGGAAATCCCTTTTCGGCCTAAAACCAAGTGCATTGATAAATACTTAAAACAAAATATTAAAAAGCAGCTATTCTGAGTTAACATAACCTCAAAAATGAGCGATTCATTACAAATAGGCTGCAGATTTCAATATAAACCCTTAAAGCAAGTGTACAATGCGATAAAAAACTGTTATCGCTAATGGAAATTTCATATATTACTCACATTTTTAAATCCTGTCAATGACAACAGCACCGCAAGAAAGTAATTCCTGGTTCAGGGCCCATCATATCCACACCCCCCTTAGCAGTCTCGCTGGTAATCACCGAACCATGTGACAGTACAGTTTAATTTCACGTTCACTTGAATGAAAAATTGTATTTTCACTGTTTCACCGTGTATAAGCATAAAAACGGTTTCACTTTTTGCACTTTCTACGCTCCTTGTCCGTCACAGAGCCCATCCACGCGCGAAACCCAAAAGTAGCACAACCGTTATGGGAAAAGTGACAGTGGAGTAGAAGTGGGTTCCTTTATACTTAACGGTATAATCCTTTGAAACACACCAGTTCGTTGAACAGAACAAATTTAGCACGCTGACATAGTCCAGAATGAAAACATTACTTCATTTCATACGAATGAATATATTCTACATAAATCTCTCAAACAGCTGAGTCCGTGCTGAAAATACCACATCACAATAAACAGTTCTGAAAATGAATGATGGTTCAAATTTGCATTACTAGACCTGTTCAAGTTACCAGAACTCTGAACTGTAAAAATATGTCCTTGATCACGTCAGCCGTCGAATTCGTGAATGCAGGGTTCCACCATGTGCAATCGTTTGCGTTTGGTTTCGTTCCGAGAAGTCGTTGACCTCTCTCGTCTACTATAGACCATTTCTCGAATGCGCTGGAGTTGAAAGGAGGGGGATGAAGGAGAGTCTTTTACTATGCCAACCCTCCCCACTCCTTGTGTAAAAATAGTGCTACTACTGAAGCACAGTCTAATACTGAGAATTACACCGAGGACATAAGCGTACGAGAGTGAAAGTCGTATGGCAGGAAGATTCAATCAGACCCCTCAAACTTATAGAACGTCCAAACAATTTCATCCTCGTCAGTCATACGTGTTGTTTCTATTCACACGGTTTTCAGACGTATCCTTCCGCGACATGTAAATTCAGAATGGCGGCAAAGTTCAAACTCATATGAACCGAGAGGCCGGTGTGGCATACACAGAGTAAGTGGACGGGAGAGCGTGCTTGTGCGCATGCCAGGAAATAACTAGGGACATTCCCCTCCCCGCCTTTGGATGATGAGACCGGCTCGGCACGGCTCAGCTACCCAATTTCGGACGGCTGTGTTACACGATGCATCAGAACTCCGCCACACATTTTATACGTAGTTTATTTAACGACGCTATTAGTAACTAATACTACATATAATAGAATAATGATGTATACTGAATTGGAATAGATATGGAAGTAAGCGGTTGTGGTACTATCCCGGCCTAAGGGGACAGAGGAAAACCACGAGAAACGTCATTCAGGATAGCCAGTGCCCCGGGTGAGATTCGCACTGAGCACAAATCAGAAGTGTTACTGCCTGAACCATCTTGTTAGAACTACTTCCTACTTGGCTCTTTTGACCTACCTGGCTTATTCAGTCTTCCTCCCCGTTGATCAAGCTGAAGGAATCCATTTTTGAAATGAAAGCATTCAGTGGTAGAAACCAGATGTGCTGAGTAGTGGTAAGGCTCTAGACATGCGTTCAAAATATTCCCAGTTTGAACCTCATTGCTCATCCGGAGTGAAGTTTTTCGTGATATCTCTCAGCCTATCCAGTGCTATGACAGTGCCTACAAACAAGATTATGATAGCAGCCTTCCAAGCAGTAATAGTCACAATTCTTCACGTCTTTTTCAATATTAATTGTAAATCAATAATACCGAAAAATTGGAAACGGTATCTTTAAGTAACTGCAGATTTTCGAGGGATATGGATAATATAAATATTTACGAGTAAACTTATTATTATTATTGACCGCCTCTGTGGTCTAGTGGGCAGAGTTCCTGGCTACAGATTCTGAGGTCCCGGGTTCGATTCTCGGCTCTACCAGACTTTCTGAGAAGTAGTGGGTCTGGAACGGGGTCCACTCAGACTCGTGAGGATAACTGAGGAGCTATTTCAAGGAAATAGCGGTTCCGGTATAGAAAACCAAGATTAACGGCGGTGGGGATTCGTTGCGCTGACCACGCGACACCATCTATCCGCAAAATTTGGTACTATCTTCGCCGACAAGCGGCGGTGGCTCGGTCGGTATAGTTCGCTTGCGGACTGAAACCACGGAGTTTATTATTATTATTATTATTATTAGATGATATCACAGGGATCCTGTCCATGGGTCATGCTCAAAATATACCGCTAAAGTTCATCAGGTAGTAGTTTCCTGGAAAACCCATTTCAGATTCAATTAAGTACGACAGATAGCATATTCCTCAAGATGTGTTCTCACGCAACGGCCGCCTTCTGTAGTTCTGCCTTGGAATGTTTACCAGGGATGTCTTCTGAATATTTCTGATACGATCTTGACAAACTTTTAGTCACACCTGTTACTACTGGCATCATCTTCACTTTCACATTTTGCAGGCTTTGTACTTCAAGCAGCAGATCTCTGTATTTCAGATCTGTTAGGTCCTTTCTCCCGTACATCTTCTATCGGAAATGTCAGCAGGAAATATATTCTTTTTTATCTTCAACTACGCTGTCAAGTTTGTTGTACGGCACAGTATTGTCTGTTGTTGTCTTCATCATCATCAACATCCCCATACGCCTTTATGGCGTAGTGCTTAATTAGTTAAGAACAGGGACTTCACGTTTTCTTACCTTTATCATCAACATAATTCACTGAGTAGCGTGTTCATTAGCAAATGAAAGTTACTGATCCGGTAAAGAAACCTACTATGCAGGCCACACACATAATCCCAAAAGAAGTACATAATAACATCAGAAGATTGCTAATTGATCAATTTTCATACTTCTATGTAAAAGTCGGTTATATGTCCTATACACTACTTCCATTTACGGTAATCTTTGAACAACTTATTAAATTACAATAGTATTTCCTTCATCGAGAACTGGGATAGCGTAGTCGGTACAGGGACTGGCTACGGGCTGGACTACTGAGGGGTTCGAGTTCGAGTCCCGGTTAGGTCAAGAATTTTACCTTCTCAACGTCGTTCAGACCGGCTCTAGGGTCTACTCAACAGCCTATCCAATGGGTACCGGGGGCACTTTCCCAGGGAATAAAGCGGCCAAGGCGTGAAGCTGACCACTCATCTGCAGCTAGTGCCCAGGTCAAGAAAATGTGGATCTATACATCCACTCCCCCATACTCCTTCATGGCGTATTGCTTAATTAGTTAAGCACAGGGACAACATCACCTTTTTACCTTTACTTCCTAACAATGCTACCGATGACCTATACAAACGGAAAAGTTTTATCATTACGTAACAAATTCCATTACCCAATTTCTTCATTGTTGCGATATCTGAGGTTCTCTTTGAGGCGACTATGGAGGTTGCTGCCTTTATGGGTGTGATTCCGTATAGTTTGAAACATAGGTTTCTCCGAAAATTCGGGAGCTATCTACCAAACTTCACGGAGTCATATTTCAGAATACAGTAACTTTCCTTAGCCTCTCTTAATTCCAAATACGTTTACTCAGAATTCAGTCATATGATAACATCCAATATTGAAGAAATTAGAAATACAATTTACAAGAAGCTCTTTTAGATGAACATTTTTTCGTGAAAATGACAAGTGACGACAGAAAAACTGCCGTTGGCTGATCTATCTGCCGGGGGAATTAGTATTACCTGAAACCAAAGCTTACAGCGCTCTATCGGCTCACTGTGTTGTTATAATCTCACGCAAAATCATTACGACTTTACTGTACAGAGATGTAAGCTAGGGTAGGTGTACTTTTTTAAAGTCTGGCAGTATTATGGGACTCGAAAATGAAAATTTACTACTCCATTGCCTAATCTACACTAAGAAACATGGAACTTACACACATACTCTCCGGTTTCCTCCGAGGATCATTATCTTAGATGTTAATTTCCTACTAAAAGAAAATCACGTAAGTCTGCTGCGAATTTACCTCCTAAGCTTCGTTGATTTTGCTATTGGCAATGAATTATTATTATTATAATGTTCTATCTAATTTGTAGTCTAATTCTAGTCTTAGTCTAACTTTAGTTATATATACATTCAGTGCTCGACTGTTAAGGCGGCTCGCTGTTGGCAAGTACTTAAATGTAGGAATTTAATTAAATTATTATTGAATCTAGACACATTAGGTTTTATTTTGTACATTAGGGCCTGTTCTCTTATTAGTTTTGTGCTTTGCTGCATTACTTGTATCTAATACCGTCTTTTGCTTTCGTTGTTTACCTGTAACTGGTTTCTTGCCGGTCACGGTAGCCGAGCGGCCTAAGGCATGCACTGTCTTCGCTCGCTCGGAAGCCGAGATCGTGGGTTCCAATCCCACTCAGGGCATGGATGTTTGTGTGCGTTTTTCTGTGTTTGTCTACAGGTAGAGGCCTTGCGACGAGCTGATCACCCGCCCAAGGAGTCCTACCGTATGTGTAAGATCTAGAAAAACCGAAGTGAACGGAGAAGTTCATGAAGGTAGACCTAGGCCCACTGGGGCTGTAGTGCCAAGAAAAAAAAACTGGTTTCTTGCTATTGGTAAGAACTTAATTAAGTAGTCCACTTGGTACGTCGGTCGCTAATTGGGCTATTGTACCAGCCCTGGATGACGAATATGGAGCAGTCGATGGAATGAGAATTGGCAGGGGAAACAGAAGTCCTCAGAGAAAACTTGCCCTGTGCCACTTTGTCCACCACAAATCCCACATGACCTGACCTCGGCTCGAACCGGGACCACCGCGGTGGGAAGCCGGCGACTAACTGTTTGAGGTATGGCACGGCCTGATTATAAGTAAGGAAGGTTCTTTAATTTATAGTTTCTGGTAGCCCCACTATAGGCCTAGGGCCTGCAGCTTCTGTAGGACAGAATCATAAGGAGGATCTTTCATGAGCTTCATGCACATTTTCGGTATTAGTGCCAACAGTGGGATGAAGCCGGAAGTCTTTGAAAACAAACTTACATGATCTTCACTAGCCCACGTGGTTTAATTTAACATAAGAAAGTTCCAGTATTGACCCATATGCTGTCTCTAATATTAAAAACCAAACAAAATTAACTTCACGGAACTGAGCCCTTCTTGAGACACCGCCCGTAGCTCAGCTACTCAAGAATTTCCCAACATTTTATGGAACCCAAAGGTTTATTGCCGTTCTCACAAGAGCCTTCCACTGGTCCCTTATCCTAAGCCAGATCAATCCAGTCCATACCACTCCATCCCATCTAATACAGAATAAAATATTTTTCGAAACAATAATAAGTCATTTCGGGACGAGGGCAGAGCAGACTGACGAAACATCATGCAGAATTGAAATTACACCTCGGATAACTGATAATGTTGTTCTCTATCCCTCACCTAATATCTTTGACAAAGGCTAAAGGCTGTATGAACCACAAAGCGAGGGTAAATTAGGCTGTGTCGTGCGTGCTGACTGTCAACTTTATTTCAGTAACACACAATGCAGAGGAAGCAGATGTTTGTGCAACTTCGCAGCGTTTGATGACCCTGGTACTCCCGATGACGTGTCATATCTGTGACGTCAGACATGGCAGTTGTGTGTTGTAACAATTCTGATTCTTGGGGTCTAGATATTTCAGTTCGTTAATGAATTTGTTGCAAATTGATTATTTAACAGAAGGTATTATCAGTCAGTGATAAAAAGACCATTAAATGACGGGCCGATGCTACATTAAATTTTCTTAGCTAATAATTCAGCTGTCGACAAAATATGACGCGAAAAGACAGACTATTTTGGTTCGAGTAACTATTCAACTATGGCCGCGCCATAGCTCAAGCGGTTAATCGCTGGCTTCCCACCGCGGCGGCCCGGGTTCGATCCCGGGTCTGGTCAAATGGGATTTATGGAGGAC